TTGGTGTGGTCGCGGAGCGCAAGCCTCCACACCCTGATCAGCTCATTCTCATGCTTCCCGAACGACTCCAGCTCGCGAACGTCGTTCGTGACGGTGCTCGCGTCCATGAGGGCGGTCGTCAATTCGATCATGCCGATATGTCTGCCGTCTTTGACCCAGCCGAACGATCCCTCCAGGGCTTTCATGCTCCGTGCTGACACCAAGAGCGCCTTCACACCATCAGGCACTTTGCTCTCGAACTCCTTCGCAACGGACAAGAATGCGTCAGAACAGAACGGCGAGTGCACGACGCGTCGGACGTAGGACATCAAGGGGGTGGCCACTTGGACTCCAGCCCAAGCGTGGTTCAGTTTGTGCAAGAAGGTCATGAAGCTGTCGCTCAAGATGTCGTTCACCTCCTGGTCAGCAGCTGGCTTCAGGCCCGAGTCCATCAAGTGAGCCTTCACCCACTCCCTGAGCCCCGTCGCGCAGTCCTCCGTGACCGTGGAAGTCGCCATCAGCAGACTCTTGACGTGGTGCGTGAGGATCATCTTCTTGCGTGTGCTCTGGAGGGCCTGGGACTTCGGCGCGAAGTGGGCGCAGTACTCCAAGACGTTTCCAACCCAGTAGAGCTCGTCCCACGTGTCATCCTCAACCTCGCAGTGCAGGGCGCGTGATAGTTTCCCCTCGAGCTGACAAACTATCACGTCAGTCGCATGACCTCCATCCCCTCCCTCCCGCCCGAACCCCAACGAAATTCCAGGCCGCCCGATTAGGGTGGAAGAGGGGGATGCAGAGTCGAGTCGGACCGAGGACCCCATCGGAAAGACCAGCGGTCAGCCGACAGTCGACCTCAAGACCAGATTTAGCGGCCCCCTTGGGGGGCCCATCCCTTCAGGACGGGGGGGGGGGGGGGCAGCGACGTGAATAGGTTGGCAGTTCGCCTGGAGATCCTCCACGCTGAACCAGCTCATCAACGCATTGCACATGAACGCGTTCACCACCTTGGCCATGTTCATGTTCTCCGCGTAGACCGTATCCTCGAAGTCACTCGGGTCTGCATTCACGATGCACGTGGCGCAAAATTTCATTGAGATATCTTGCTGCTCCTCCTGGCAAACGTCCACGACGGCGTTGTAGGCATCCTCGCTCTTGCCGCTGGGCTCCTTCAAGCCCGTGGCGATACTCAAGACCTTCTCCTTGAACTGGCTGGCAGCCGCCGCAGCCTCCTTCACGCAATCTGCATTGGCGAGGTTGCCATCTGAGGCGAGCAGCTCGACCAGGTGATCCCACGCGATTTTCATGACGTTGCTGTTGGAGAGTGCCCTCACCCCTGCAGCGGTAGCTAGATTCCGTACACGCGTCGAAACTGCGTCGATCTTGGAGAGCATCATTCTGGACATCTTGCGCAAAGCCCCTGCCACAGGCTTCGCCTCACGAATGCACGTCAACACGTCGCCTGCGACGACGAGAGCGGACACGTCCATGTAGGGCTGCTCGAAGAGACTGGCCTTCGTGAAAGGTTCCCGCGCGTCGTCACACACGCTGAAGTCGAAAGGCTGGAACTCCTTGCCCAAGTACTCCTTGACGTCGGCAATCCTCTTCAGCACCGTCGCCTCGCTCGGACTCTCGATGACGATTCGCTCCACCATGTCGGTCGCAAGGCCAGCCTGAGTTCGCACCGCCAGCGAGTCCGCCATGATGGCGTCAGCCTTGCACGACGCGGTCTCCCACAGCAGCCCGAGGCACAGAGTCTCGACGCGAGGCCACTCAACTGGTTGAGAATCGCCCTCGGGAGCAGGAGCTCGGGGGCACATGGCAAACTTGATCATGAGTGGCGGTTCGCTCGTCGCTAGCGCGAAGCAGGCTTGCTGGATGATCTGCGACCTTAAGCTCACAGAACAACCGACCATAACCTGGTGCTCCGCGCTGGTGATGGTCCGCTTTGCCACGTCCACGGTCTTGCCCCTGATCTCCTCGAAGAAGATACGCCTGGCCGAGATCTCCTTGATCACCATCCCTGCTTGTTCCGACTTCGCTGAGAAATCATCGTCTCCAGTGAACCTGGCCATCTCGCGGGCGGATTTGGCCAATGCGTTGACGGTGGCATCGTGGATCCTGCGCTTCGGGCGCTGCGTCCACTCCTTCTCTGCCGAATGGTGCTCACGAGCCCTCTCCATGACCTTCTCAAACCTCTGAGTGGCGGACTCCTGCGGCGTGGGCTTGCCCTTCTTGCGAGCAGCGGCGCTGCCGACCTAAGGGCCAGCCGAAACTCACCCTGCCCTGGGACGGGGGGGGCATGGCGGTCCTCCGACATCTTCTTCTCTCCCTCATCCCTCATCCTCATTCGCTTCGTCGGGGGCGGCATGAATGCGCGTGCATCTCCACGCTGATCTATGGCAAGGGTCGGGCCGTCGAGAGGCCCACCCCTTCCCTTGGCAAGACCAGCACGGAAACCTCAACACGCAGTCATCCCGCCCCTGGAAGGAAGAGGGGAGGGAATCCGACAAGCGGAGGACGAGAAGACGACGGAAGACCACCACACCCCCTCACCCTACTCCCACAGGTAGTTGAGGTTTCGCCAGGCTTGTGCCTCAGGGCGCCCGCTGCGTGGAGGGCGGCGGCAGTCGCCGTCGGACTCGCCATCCTCACCGATCGGCTCGACGGTGTTGCTCGGGGGCAAGCTGCACTTCGAGCGCGGCGTCGCCGCCGCCGACGCAGCCCGGCCTCCAGCGGCACCTCCACCACTGCAGATTGCAGACGCAGCCTCCCCCTCCTCTGAGTCCTCCTTGTCCTGGAGCTGGGCGCGCTGCTCGCCGTCGTCGGAACTCACGTCGCTGAGCATCGCGACGTCGTAGTCGACGTCCCGCGCGCGACCGCCGACATGTCCAGCTGCGGCAGGGGCCATACCTCGAATCCTCTTGGCCTTCTTGATGTCGGCGATCGCCTCGGCTGCAAGCTCATCGTCCACGGGCTTCTGTCGCTTCTGCAACTGCACCTCGCTCTTGACGCCCCTGCGAAACTTGTAGTTGCCCCTGTTCGGGTTCGGGTCGTTGACGTACCAGACACCCACCGATTTCAAACGTGCGTCCCGAGAGATCTCAATGTCGGGCCACGTCTTGCGAATCCTCCTCGTCAAGGTGTCGTCTGCGTCGCCGTCGACGCACTTGATCTTGCGGGCCTTGCAGAACTGCTGGAGAGTGTAGAAGGCACCTTCTTCGTAGGCCTCGCAGAACTCAGACTCCAGCTCGGCCACCCACTGCTCCACTGGCTTCTTCTCTTGATGCGAGAACTCCCCAGCCTTTGTGCACCTGTCCTTCCTGAGCGCCTCGCAGCGAGCATCGAGAGACGGGCAATCCTTCCTCTGCGCCTGCAAGGTCTCGAAGCTGCAGCCGTCGAAGAAGCGCCTGCGCATGTCGAAGCAGAGGTAGCACTCGCTGCCTGTCAGGTACACCTCTCCCGTGGTGCGGCTCCTCTCGGCTTTGCTCCACTTCACGCGGCGCGTCCCGTCCCCGTGCCTGTCCATGTCCTGGGACGTCTGCTTACATGCCTCGCAAGTCCTGGGCGGCGCTGCCAAGATCTCCTCTGCCCAGGTGACCTTCTTCTTGATGCTGTGCTTGGCGACGGCCTTCTTGCCACCAGCCGCGGACTTGCCCATCGTGCAAGATGGCGCCAGGCTGCCAGCTGCCAGGCTGCCTGCCGACGGCGGCCCGTCGCTCGGGGAGACTCGAGGACCGAGGAGCCCAGCGCACCCAAGCGCCAGAAATGCCTCGAGCCAAAATGGCTACAGAACAGGACCTGGAGCCGTCGGGGGCCCTGAACGTTTACTAGAGTTGTCGTTATTTCTTTCGAGGCCCTCAGGGCCCACTGCCCCTCGCCTTAAGGGCCTTCTGGCCCGCGCGCACTGAGACCCCAAGGGCACTTGGTGTTACAGGAGACCACGTCGAGGCACTTAAGATCCCTGAGGCTCTTAAAGGCTCTGAATTTTCATGCTGGGACTCGGTTTCCCGTTGCCCATGGCCCTAAGGTTTGCAGCTTGCAGACATCTCGAAAGAGTTCGTTAACTCCCCCACTCGCCCAAAGAGCCCGAAGGACCATGCAACCGTTTCTTCGACCAAGTGCAGAGCAGGAGGAGGAGGGCAATGCGCCGATGCGCCCTCGGCAAAGCGACGCACAGCTGACACGAAAAGGCCCTGAGGAGGAGGAGGAGGAGGAGGAGAAGAAGGAGGAAGAGGGGGGCGGAGGAGGAGGAGGAGGAGGAGGAGGGGGAGGAGTTAAGAGTTAAGAGAGTCTCGAAGAGTGAGTGGAGCTCCGTCGATCCTGCGATTTCCCCGCTGTGGCTCAAGAGCGGATTGTGTTCAACATGATCCTGAAACTGACGCGGCGCAGGTTGCCTAGGCTGCGGGCCGCTGGGCCAGGAAACTGAGCAGCAGGCTGAGAGACTGAGCAAGTGGCGGCGCGACTGCACTGCCTGCACGCCTGCACGCCAAGAAACTGCACAGGCTGAGACTGCTGAGCCGAGCGATGCATCACGCATCTACTCAGAAAGAGGGTGAGCTGCTCTCCTCTGGCTCATCATCTTGAATCGCAAGCGCTTCCTGCTGGTCGCTGAGCTGAGAATCGGCATCGAGGGTGTTGTACGCTAGCTCTCTGATCCTCTGAATCTGACGCTTGATCTTGTTGAACCTGCGCTTGAGGCTCAGAAACCTGTGGAACACATGGCTGCTGTTGCTGAGCACCCTCGTGAGGAACCTCTGCTGGCCTGGAGTCAAGACCCCCATGATGGCTTGCACGCGAGGCGCAGTCAGCGGCGGCGGGCGCCGAGCCTTGGGAGCCATGCGTTACACTGCAAACGCGGGAAAGATGTCGGCCTCGAGAGCCTCGAGCCTTGAGCCAACCATATGCCTCTGGAACTGGCCTAGGGGCTGCGGCTCCTACTCGGACTCCCCACCACGGTACAACAGTTATTTCCAATTACCCCTTCACATTCAGGCTCGTTGGAACCCCCTACGTCCACGACCACCGCGATGTAGCAAGCAGCGTGTCCATGTTAGACTGCGGGGCTAATGGGAACGTAACTTCGAGAACGTGCTTACATTTTCATGCAGACGGCGGGCGCCAACAAATTAAGAGGCTACGCGAATGCCGCGAATGCACCAACCAGTGACGCGAACACCAACTCGATTTGCACCTCCCAAGCTCCCGCCGCAGGCCGTGCAAATCAGCCATGCACCACCGAGGCTCCTGAACAAACGCGTGTTCAGGAGGGGGCCCCTGAACAAATTTTGTTCAGGAACCCCAAAAACACAGTGTTCAGGAGGCATCTTCTGAACAAAATTTGTTCAGGAGCTTGTTCAGGAGCCTGTCAGGCCCCGTGGGACTCCCTGGGACCCCTTGAAATTCGCTCAGCTGAGCGGTGCAAATCAAGTTGGCCCATAAACAGCGCACACGGCCCCCCGTGCCGACGCCTGGCCCGAGGGTCGCACAGAAGTCTGAGAATATCGAGGCCCTCCACGATTTCACTTGTCTCCCTCCCGTCTCCCCTCTCCCTCCCGCCTCCATCATATGGGAAAAAATGCTAGCCTCCAGAGGATGCAGCTGCATGGTGCCCCTCCCTGAGCAAATCTGCAAGCTCGTCAAGGAACTCCTGCTCTTCCCTTCCGAGCCCTGGCCTGTTCGACCAATCCTGGGCAACCAAAAAGTTAGCTCGCTTCAAGCGCTCAGGCAGAGAGGGAACGCAATGCAGGTGGACTCGCCTGACGCCCCACATCGTATCTGCACTCGCAGTATCTGTCATGCGGTGCTCCACGCGCCACATGCCCTTGGGAATCCCTTCTCCGCAGACCCCGCACACGGCTCGATTGGTGGGGGCTTTGCCGTATCCAATCAAGCTTGCTTCGCCGTGCGGTCTAGGGGCCTCGGGCCCCGCAGGGGGGGCAGGGGGCGGCGGCAGCGGAGGCGGAGGAGGGGCGCCTGGCTCATCATCGGGCTCAGGCTCAGACGACGACCCCTCGGTGGCCTCAGCCGCTGACATCTCAGGACGGATTGATTCGCCTCCAAGGTCGGATGCATCGGACTCGACATCCACTCCAACTTCAGCGGTGGGCGCACCCCCGTGCCCAAGACCACCCGCAAGACAAGTATCAGGACCATGTGGCAGGGTAGGACTTGTTGTTTCCAGGCTCATTCCAAATGGCATCCACTGCTTGGGCTCGTCAACTTTTTTGGTCCCAACCTTGCGGGTTTTGACAAGATCCAAATCTACGCTGAAGAACTCCTCAAGTCGATATGCAAACTCGATGTCATTTTCACGGGGGACTTTGAGCAATTTGCTGGCCGTGAGCTTCGCAAGGACAACTGGGCGGCCATCATTGTTTACACGAGCTTCCAACAGGAATTCCCTCAGCAAGCGATGGAATGGTAATGTTACGAGCTTCCCCTGGCCATGTCTTTCAAGCCCCCAGTTACCACTTGGGAACGTCTTGACCCTGGAGACGGCGAAAAACTCCCCTGCACCAAACTTGAAAGTGAGGACCACATTTACTTCGACACCAGCAGCCTCCAACTGCAAATGCAACGGTAATGCTACGTGCGTTACACCCCTGCTGGCCAAGTGGGCGTGCAAGTTCTTGGCCCCTGAGCGGCACGACGACGGCCATCTTGCTGCCGAGCCCCCTCCCCCCGTGCCTAAACACGTTCGCTCCCCCCTTTTGTTTTGGGACTCAGCATAAGACGCGCCATTGTATTGTTGCGTTCAGTTATCACCCGATTGGACACGTGCGAAGAGCAGCGCAAGGTGTGAGAGTAGGTGGCACCCTCGTCGTGTATTTCCGTCAGTCCGCCCTCCCCCTACCATGCCTGCTTGATGATTCCTAAACCTTACGGTTGGACCCACCATGCCTATCTTCATACTACAGTAGCCCGAGACACGGCGCGAGGCCTTCTCAAGGAAACCCAACCCCAGGGACCACACTGTTAATGTTAGCAGGGGGGAGGGTGCGAGACAGCAAGATGCCCTGTCGCCGAGGCCCCTTTAGTTGGCGAAGCTCCTGCTCTCACGTAGTCGCAATAATAATCCTGCGGGCACAAGCCAGACAAGCAACACACCTGCTCCGCAGCAACCGAGACTCCGTTCGGCACTGGTTCAGGATCATAGGAGAATAGGCGGCGGGCTTCACGCGCGATGTCCACATCTGTGTCACGCACGTTAACCAGCGACGGCTTCAAACCAAGTCCAGGGCAATCCAGACGAGCTCCACTCTCCCAGAACCTTGGAGCCCCACGTGTTACGATGCACTTGTTACTTATTATGTTACATGTGCCTTGGTTGCATTCAAGCCCCCCACCACCCACGGGGTGGAGGGGGGA